AGGTTAAACTTGCTATTGCTCAGCTCAGAGCTGCCTTCTTCTCAAATTCAGCAGGTGAAATTATTTGAACAGAATGTTCATCATACTGCTTCCTAATCTTTTGTAAATCTACAGTCATGTCACCTGTTAAAACAGTCATTACATTTATCCTTTTACTAGTTTGTTTTAATGTCTAGTTAGCATCAAATTGAAAATACTTCGCATAAACTACTCCATTAGGAAACACATACTTTCTTTGATATATCCGAAAAGTAATTATTTTTAAATGTTGGTCATCTACTTTGCATTTTGTTGTATGACATCTGTTTAACAAGTGAACTTAAATCTCTCCCTTTTATTAGACAAGCTTCGATTCTGAAAATGGACCATATTTTTACAATACCTTGAAAAAAGTATTTAAACAAACACTGGAAGAAAAAAGAAAAAGGCTAAAGGAAGAAACAGAGAATCCCTCTTGATGTCTGCATAGCTGTGCTGAAGAATTAGATGGGCCTACCAAATTATTTTGCATTTTCCAGCTACTGTATTTTGTGCTATCTGGCATGATTTACTTAGCTTTAGGTAATAGCAGTTATTAACAAAGCATTTTATTTTTTTAGAGGGAGATTTAGTGACAATTGTTCTATCTACTCAGTTCTAAAGAACAGCTCCTGTGTGACTGTACTGTAGCATTTGGGTGCAGGTACTATGCTTTTATATTGTGAACTGTTCTCTTGTTTTCAAATGTATTTATTGATTTAGAAACCTCTGTCATTGACAAGCAACATTATTTTCAAGTTACACAATTGCCATAAGTTCAGTGCCATGGTACACAAAAATGTAATGGATTGCATTAATATTTATGTAATATGTATGTTTACGTTAATGTTATTTTACTTTGCAGAAAATAAATACTGACTGAGCTTATTGAACTCCTTTTCCTTTTAGAAATTTTAAAATAAGACTAAGAGTAATAATGAAGTGATCTTGAGGTCTGCTATGGACAGCAGGTAATTTTTTCCTTTAGATCTCTTAAATACTTGTCACCAGTTATTAGTGTTTGTAAAAGGTGTTGCAGTAGAGAAAAACATTAAGTGTATTGAATATTAAGTTATCAAGGTCTTAACTTTTTTGGCTAAGAAAGCTTTAAAGTGGTTTTAAGAGAAAATTGATTGTGACATTTTAAGTGCTTTGAATAAGACTAAAATTGTACCTTATTAGCTAAACCTTTATAGATCTTATTTTAAGTGAGAAAACTCTTTAATTATCAGACCTTAATAAGGATATAAGTCTGTCCATACTTATGTTCAGCAAAAACTGGCATAAGTAAGTGTAACATTAATAATACTAAAAAATAATCAGTGAGATCTTGTTATCTGCAATACACTTTGTAGAGGCATTTGTATCTAATCAGGCAATAACAAATGGGATATCATCATAACTGCAGTTTTTGATTACAGCCTTAGCATTCAGTCTGGAATGTGAGTTTGCAGAATTAAGAATTTATCCAGTTTGATATATTTTAAGTAGTTAAACAAGAATCTGTCCTTTTCCAAAATATTTTTATTTGATCCTGTAAATTACTAATATTTGGAATTAAAAATAGTCCATTTTAAAATATATATAAATTATACATGCTTCAACTGTTAGATGATTCTATGTCAAATTCAGACCCAAACGAGTACTTTGGCAGAATCATCCTAAAGTGAGCACACTTGAAAGTAAAATACTGCATATGAATCACATACACCAAAGCAGCTTTGTAAAGAGGCAGGGCAACATAACAAGCAGTCTCACATTAGCCAGCCTACCTTAGCAGTCAGACTTGGGAATACTAAGATGTATTTGCAGTTGTCTTAGTTTCCCAATAAATTATTTCAGTTTACTACAGTTAACAGCTCTGAATAGCTAGCACCAGTTCCTGGTATAATACACTTGGGGCGTACAAACCAGCTCAGTATTGTTTAAATCAGTATCATTAACAAGGACTTTCACATATTATTAGATCTAGCTAGAATAATCTTCGTGAAGTTAGTGTCAGGCATTGGCGTTTGAAAATTACCTACATGTGGTCCATGTAAATCAATATTGTAGAACTGGGTGCTTCTTTATTTAGTAATTTTTTTGGCTGACAAATGCAGTTGTGATTATGGCCAAATTGGCTACCACATCTGATTGAACCCATCATGGGAAAAAAAAAAAAAAACAAACCAAAAATAACCCATCTAAATGAATAATCAAACCTATTGACTTTAGCAGCAGCCTATTAATTAATGTGTGATCTGTGTGAAATGCTTAAATAGCAAATACCCCTTTTCCTTATCACTTCCTCATGCACTAAACTTGACTCACAGCTTTGTGTGACAGCCTTGCAGCTGTGGGTTCTGTGTGGGCAGATCCCGCTCACTCATCACAAGCGCTGCCTTGTCATGCTGACGCTCCATCACCAACTCCTGCTAAAGCAAAATGGCCACAAGCTAGTCGCAGGATGGGACAGGATGGTATGTGATAGCAAGGCAGGCATGTGATAATTCCACTGTGTACTCTCCCATGCCCCTGCAATCTACAGCGCCAATATTGTGAGCAGCAAAAGACACTGGGTGACCTCTTGGCTGGCACGTGCCACCTCTGCAAACACTCTTTCCAGGCCATGTGCAGCACCTCTAGGAGCAGATGGACCAACATACGGCCCCTCGGGGCTTTCTGACCGGGAGAGCTCACACACAGAGAGAGGAAGCCCTTGCTAAAGCACCAGAGGGTAAAAAATCATCATCCTCACTTCTTGGGGAGAAGCAGTAAAACTGTCTCCCCCTTAATACTTGTACACCTTGTTGTCAGTAGTAACCATGATCTAAGCCAAGGCCTCCAAACTAACACTAGGCCAACCTCCCTTTGGTCAAAAACCCCACGTGCCTACTGTTGTGTCCCCCCAAAACTGCCCTATCCGTACTAATCCATAGCCTTGGCTGTAAGTGTGTGTTTTGAATCAGTGTCCTGTAAACAGCCGCCACAGCCTTAGCACCATCGCTGAACTCTTACAAATGCTTCAGCCATACTTTCAATACACTGTTCAAGGGGCAGGGTGCTCACCACTTTCTTGTGGTGAAAACCTCACTTAACAGGAGGCTCAGCACCCTGATGTGGACATACTGTGCCACACCCCCAATTGGTGATGGCCCATCAAGGGCCCACTGATTAGTGAGGACCTTCGTTTTGCCTCCAGGGCATTTGTTTGTGAGGCTTGTGTCCCTGGATCTGTTCTTGATGGATTCCCTTTTCCCTGGGTATCCCATTTGGAGAGGTCCATGGCCAGATAATCCTGCTGCAATAAACGTTCCCTCGCTACACAGACCCTGAACAATCCATGCGACTGGCCAGTTCAGGCTCCCATCAGTGCCTCCCGAACCATGCCTTCTGCATGCTGGTGTCACTCTCTGTTGCTGGCTGTGGCCACCACCTCCCCCAGCCCCTCTGGGCCCCGCCGCCAGTCCGAGGAGTGCTGTGCCTGGCCCCTGCCTGCCAACACTGTGGGCATCCGCAGCTGCGGCCGGGCATAGAGCTCAGCCACTGCTGGTACCTCACAGGGTCTGCTCTTGGTACTACCCAGACACTTGTGCAACAGCTCTGTCCCTCTTTATCTGAAGAAACAGCTGAGCCCTGAAGCTGTTGGGGGCAGGTCCTCTGCAGAACAAACCTGTTTTCTGAAAATCACCTGTCTTCAGTTCAGAAGACTTATAGTGTCCTCAACCTTTCTGCACTAATACACAATTGCCAAATAATGCCAAATTAATTATGTTTTAGCAGCAATTTCTTGCATACTTGTAAGCAAGCGAAAAGTCAGGGAGCGTAGAACACGTATGCATTTTATAATGCTAAACCTGATGGTATTGTATGTCATATATATCCTCAAAGGTGTCCATGAGGGGTTCTGTCTCCGCATGTCCAAGCCCCAACCTGGCGGGGCCACCTCCAGCCCCTGTCAGAGGGCCAGACCAGCGGGCTGGGGGGACAGCGGGGCCATTTGGGTTGTGGTCAGGGGGTGCTGGACGGGGGTGCCCCAGCAAATCCAGCCCACCAGCAACTCTCCTCACTGCCGGCAGCACCACCTGTAACTTACTAAAAATCGGTACCTGAATTTACCTCTTTCCACCTTCCTGAACAGGACTCCTGAAAAATAACATTTAATAACTGCTACTTCTCGGAAGCCCTCTCTGCGTGCTAGCTAGCGAGATTTATTACGGTACCCAAGCAAAATAGAGTGGCAAGGTGGTGTTTCGCTGCTGCACGTGCTGCTGGCACAGCTGTCTCTCTGGGTATTCAGACCCCATCTTGTGACCCGCAGTGGGAGTGCAGGGGCTAACAAAGCGCTTCTCGGTTGTACCTGGCGGACACCCGGCAAAAGGTGCTCACCCCAACATGGGCTGTGCTGTAGCGTCTGTATTCGTCAGGAACAGAGTCCACTGACACCTGGAAGTAAAAAGGAATTTAGCAGCCGGCCGAATTTATTTCACAACGTTTCACCTGCACAAGGATGAAAACTGCATTGGGCTTCACCTTTCAGCTGTTCAGGCATCACGATTTCGTTTGTTCGACGTGCAAAACCTCTGCCTTGTCCAGACAGGAGTCGGGGCACCGTCTGATCTGTTCGTTGCTCTGATCGCCGAAACCAAGGCGCCGTGTTCCCTTCCCACATTTGAGATAAAAAACGTTATTTGTGAAGTAAGACAGTGATACCTGTGAACTAAGATCATTAGAAAATAGATATTTGTGGAATAGAGTTATTAAGATTAATTTAAGCTGTTTTAACCATATAACAATTGTGCTGTAGAACAAATACTGATCTTTTGAGGCACAGTTAGAATAACTTTAGGATAAGGAACTCACAAATAATCTTACTGGAGACGATTCGGCCTTGTAGTAGCAGGTGCAAAGAAACATAAAGGAAGCTGCAAACTAGCAAGAAAACCAGACCAGGCCAGCCTTGAAGCATAAGGTATCCGTGACCACAGGACTGAGTTTGCGCAGAAGTAAGGGTCAGCTGGCAGACACAGTGAAGAAGACAAGCCTTCATCTGAAGACCCCCAATGACCACCTGAAAACTCCAACAGGCATGCGTAAGAGACATTAACATATGCTAATGAGTTCCTGGAAAAGTTATGAGTATGATAAAAATATGCTAAAAATGCAATGAATGTATGATTAAGGTAGTATAAATGTTTGTTGGTTTTGTTTTCACACACACACATTAGGAGGAGCTCTCCCCTGTGTGTCCGGTGCTGTAATAAAGAATGCCTGCTTTCTAAAACTCCAAAATTGAGTCTTAGAGAATGAATTAATTACCACTTTCTGGTAACAGATTTTGGCGACCATGGCAGGACACTGTCTGGCTGCTGGAACCTCTGAGTCAGTGACTACCTAGGCTGGCCCCAGAGAGGTTCTCTGGAGGGACTCACCAATTCAGCGGATCCTTACAGGGACAGACAAGGACCTCTGGTAAGGATAAGGCATTCTTTTCTTCTTCTGTTCTGAGACCAGTCATTCTGAAGCTGCCCCTAAGTCTCGGTTCATAAGAACCTGCAGGGCGGCATACATTTGCACGTATGATATCTATTGATCCTTGGGGTCATTATTGTCACCTGTTGGTGCATTTGTATCTGATTCTGTATCTGAGTCTGATTTTATGTTACATGCATATGCCTGATACATGCATATCTGAAAATTTCTGATTCTACCTCCTACTCCTTACCCAGCCGCACCTACCCTCCTGCTTCGGCGAGGAGAGTTAGAAAGCAAGGGGGGGATTGGAATCTCCAAACTTTGTCTTGGTTTCCTTAAAGTCGACTTTTGCTATCCAGGGTTATAATTACTTTTGTTATTATTTTTATTTTTTTAATTTGTGTTAGTAATGGTTAGTTTTGTGCAGCGTTCATTTGTGTAGTGTTCGTGTCCCATCCATCTCAGTGTTGTGTAAATACTAAGTCTAAATGGGGAATAAACAGAGCGCAGTTATGAAAAAAGAGTCCTTTGGGCTGTATTTTAGCCCACTGGAAAGATAATTGGGAACCACCAGGGAGAAGTGTGGACCATAAGAAGTTAATTAAATATTGCAATCAGTGGTGGCCTCTGTATAAGCTCAATGGAGAAAAGTGGCCCCCTAATGGAACTTTAAAATATGATACCTGGTTGCAACTCATGTTTTTCTGTGCCAAGAAGGAAAGTGGGATGAAGTGCTTTACACAGATATGTTTTTCACTTTGCAGAATCACCCTGAATGGCAGAAAGAATGTGGAATTAATTTAGCACCCCGGGACCCTATAATCCTGGTGTTATAAAAAAGAGAATAATAAGCAAGATGGAAAATTAAAAATATGTTGTTCATTTTGTAGTATCGGGCAGAGGTGTTTAAAGATTAGTTCACAAAACAAGGGATTGGAGGAATATTGGCCTCCCATCACCTCCACCGGGGGAAGGCACTGCTATTGATGAATCAGAGGTGAGGTAAAGGGAAGAAGTGGGTGCTGTATTCTCTCCCATTACTACTAGAACTCAAAGTAACATGGTACCTGTTATACAGGCTCCACTAAAACAGGCAATGGGAGTGGGGAGGAACTAGCTAGGATTAAAGTGCCCTTCACATTTGCAGACCTAGATGGCTGGAGAGCAACTGCGGGGAATTATCAAGGTGACCCTGAAAAGGTTGCTAAAGGGTTCAAATTGATTGTTAAAAACCAGCAGAACATGGATTGGGAGTGTGTGGATGCAATGTTGGATGCAGCGTTCAGTGAGTCAGAAAAGCAAATGATTGTGAAAGCAGCCAGAGCCCAGGTGCAAGTTCAGATTTTGGCTGGAAGACTGCTGGGAACAGTACTGTACCGAATACTGAAGGTTCATGTCTTCTAAGAAGACAGCACTGACATTCTTGAGACAATGGAGCAATAGTTATTTTGCTGAAAACGTGGCCATATTAGTGCCTGCAATGGCAGATCAAGTCACAAAGTACAGGATACGGTTGTGCCAGAAATGTTCATATTTTTCTCATTTTTCTTTTCTGTTCAGTTATTTTTCTTAGTTTTTTTTTTTTTTTTTTGGCGGTGATTTGTTTCTTTTTGAAATGAGTGCTATTCTGAGCCAGTTTTAAGGCCCTTGGACAGAGCTGCCCGCAGGGACGTTCTCCCCTCAAATGCAGCCTCGGCGCGGCTGTGAGGTCACAGAGCCCTGTCATGTCATGATGGTCATAATACCGACCACTCAGCCCGCAGCCCCCGCTGCAGCACCAGCACCAGCAGCAGCAACACCAGCACCAGCAGCAGGGGCAGCAGCACGGTGCAAGCACGGGGCCATGGCCCCCACCCACCACCTCCTCCTCATCCTCCTGCTCCTGGTGGCCCTGCATGCCAGGGCTGCCAGGACAGCTCCGTGGAAAGCGTGGGGAACAGGTAAGTGGGGGACGGCTCGTGCAGCCTTTCACGGGCCAGAGGGCTCTTCTCCCCAGGAAGCGTGGAGGATGATTTTCTCCCTCCAGTGCTTTAGCAAGGGCTTCCTCTCTCTCTGTGTGAGCTCTCCCGGTCAGAAAGCCCCGAGGGGCCGTATGTTGGTCCATCTGCTCCTAGAGGTGCTGCACATGGCCTGGAAAGAGTGTTTGCAGAGGTGCCCTGTCGTTACGAGGGGCCCCTTTCCAGTGCCTGCAGTTCCCTAAGGCAGGCGGGGATCCCAACATGCAATGGAAATGTTTCACATCTGTGTCTGCTTCTAGATGAGGCTGGTGGCAATGGTTACAAGGCTTCTCAACTCAATGGTGACTGGGAATCTTTGGGCCATCCTGGAGGTAAGTTCTCAATGTCCATTTTGTTGAAAGAGTGAACACTGACAACTTGGCAAGAGTTTATTCACGTGCAGATCTCCTGAAGACCCCCTCACTGTCCACGGCTTCCCAATGTCTTTATCTAGTATTCCTGTCCTCCAGCCTGAGAGCAATCTCACGGGTAATTTAGAGGCAGCAAGGAGCATCTACCTTCTAATTTTTTCTTTCCGTGTGAAATGCAAGTTGCTCGTTCTGCGGCCGACGCGCAGACGTGCAGAAGAGCAGAGAGGGAAAGGGTCGGGCTGAGTGCCGTGCCCCGGGGCGCTTTCCCTTGCGAAGCTCTTTGCCGGCCCCTGGGAGCCTGAGCTGCTCCCTCCCGGTGCCGGCTGCCAAGCCAGTGGGCTTCTTGGGGCTGACTTCAGAGCTGGTGCGAGCTCCAGGGAGTCCTTTCTCCCAGTGGCTCCACGCGTGGTTCATTTTGTCCCAGCGTGGTGCCACTGCAGGCACACGGTAACTCTTTGCACCAAGCTCCTGAGCGGAGGGGAGAGAGGAGTGCCGTGGAGTAATCCCGTCTTTGCCCGGCGCTCCTGAGCTGCCACTCCGATCTGAGGAAGGATCCTGGACTGTGTCACCGGAGCCGTTCTGTCCTGTGCTTCTTTGCAGCCGTGCCTGTAGGCGCAGGTGATGCAGCTTGGCAGCTGGGTTCCAGGACGGCGACTGCGGGAGATGGCACGGGTACGTCCTGGCTTTTCCCTCCCCTTCAGAGCTGCCCGCTCACAGCCCAAAGGTCAGCCGGCCGGGCGCCTCTGCAGGTGGGAGGACGGAGACCTGCCCGTGGGTGCCCTCTGCTTGCGTGACCCCCTCACCGCTCCTGCGATTCGCGTCTGCCAGTGTAGATGACGGGAGCTTCTCTGGGTGATTAATAATTACAGATGTTCCTGACGGGAGGACTTTTCCAGCTCCTCGGCTGGATCTGGTGCAAGAGTCTGGCTGGCATCCCACGGGTGAGTATTCTGTCCTCTGCTCACCTCACAGGCTGTGCACTGGTTTTGTGCAATTTATTCATGTGGAATCGTACCAAATACGTTCTGTTAAGGTCCTCCCAGAGCTGAAGGAGGAAAAAACTCCCGGGAGCCATCAGAAATCATGAAGAAAATACTGGAGGAGCTGGAGAGAACACAGGGTGGGTACACTTTGCTCTGCCTTAGCCGTGAGACTCGTCAGCCGGAGCTCTTAGATCCGTGTCCAGACACGCCGTCGCCGGCCCAGCAGGCAGGGGTCGAGCAGAGCCTCGCAGCAGCGATGCTGGGTTTCACGCCTTGCAGGCGCTGGCGAGCCACAGAGATGGGGCAGAGCCTCTGCTGCCAGTTGTGGCTCAAGCCAAGTGCCAAGGGCAGCTGGTGCCCCCGTTTTACCATCACGGCTCACAGCTGGCTTGTGCAGATGTCGGCAGGCAGATTTATTTATCTAAACCTTACCGATGGCTTTGAGAAGCGTTGCCTCCTGGAGGTGCCACCGCCCTGATGGGGAACGGTTCCACCTGACCCAACTGTCCCGCTTTCTTTCTCAAGAGACAGACCCAGAGGCTGTGCAGGAGTCGGCGTTTCCAGGAGGAAGCAGTGGCTCACGGCCCGCCTCTGCCTCAGCAAGGGAGGCGATGCAAGCCCCCCGCATGCCAGGTAATTGCTGTGCCGGGGTCAGCCGCTGGCACCCATCGGGATCGCTGTGCGTCAGCAGGCTCTTCCCCCAGTCCCGCTCTTGCACGTCACGTCAGCAGCCAAAGGGGAAAGTGCTGTGGGCTCGCGGCACCTGGGCCACGTTCCGCAGATGATGGGGAATGTAACTCTTAATCCGACGCACCTCCCGCTGTAGCTGCATCCCAGAGCTTGCCATGAGTCCCTCGAGGCCCAAGAGCAGCACAGAGCGGGATCCCTCCCGTGAGCCGAGGTCCAGAGCGATGCCCTGACTCCCCAGCTGGGCAGGGGCTTGGAGGGAACCTCCCTGTCCTCCTGCATCCTCTGTGCCTGAGCCATGCGGAGGCTTTACCTCTCCTCTCTGCTTTTTGGCAGTGCTGTCAAGTCTTGGAGAACGCCACCATGGCAGAGTATATGAATTTTTTCAAACAAACTCAGGTACTGAGCAGTCTTGCTGGGGTCCTTCAGTGGGAGATAAGTCCAGAACTCTGGGAGCGGCTGCAGGCGGTGCCCATGCTGGGGAAAAGGCAGAAGTGGGGAGGGAGGCTCAGGTGTCTCTTGAGAAGTCCTGACTCCATCCCCTGGTGATGTGGGAGCTGCCCGGGGCAGGGAGAGTTGGGGGTGGCACTGCCTGCTGCAGGGATGGTTTCTTCTGTCCGTGTCCCTCGAAGGAGCGACTGCTTGAGCAGATGCGCTCCCCGCCACGTGCTCCTCTGGCCGCCTCAGTTTTGTTTGGGGGGACAACCTGTCCCAAAGGGTGGGAGCGTGCCTCCGGGCACCAGCACTGGTGGGAAACAGGGACCATCCTCACCATATGAGGCATGCTGCAAGTTTATCTGTGGTGCACAGGACAGATTAACATCCCAAATGGCATCTCCAGGTGCGGTCGGCGAAACATTCCGAAGTTTTTCCCGTCCCCAGAGTAGCACAACTCGTTTCTGGACCCAAAATATGGAGAGGCGCTGCCTGATTGGCACTGTAGTATTTGTGACTCTGCTGCCACTTGCACTGATACTGTGGTGCGTCTGCATCTGGAGGTGCAGGAGGAGAAAAGAGTGAGTCAATGATTTTCCCCCACCACCACTTTCTTGCATGGCTGCTCGTGGGCCGTGCTCTGGAGAGGAGTCCCTGTGTCCCTCCTGCAGCCGAGTGCCTCAGCGGCCTCCTCTCTCCACAGACATGCCCCTGCAGCCTTGGGACACGAGCTGGAAACTGGCAGCTGCCCCTCGCACCCGGACAACCCGACCAGCCACCCCGGCACCCCTGAGACACAGACCCAACATAAGCAGCTGCAGCCCCTGACTGCGAAACAGGCACACCTGCCCTCCGCTCGGGCCCCACTGCCTCTGCTTCACCCCAGCCCATCCCCGAATGCCCTGAAGCCACAGAACCTGCCCAGCTACCCGCGACGACAACCCAGACATCACACTTGCCCCCATGTCCAGCTGCACAGGAAGGGCAGAATGACGCATTGTAATGCTACGGATTATAGATGTGGAGACAGAGCCCCCCACCCACACCTTCGGGGCCAGCCCTTTCACCCCCCCCATGAAGAGGGACAGAGTCGGTGCATGAGCGTCCACGTGGCCCTAACAGCCAAACCCCACGAGGCACCAAGCACTGGCTCATCTCCACGCCCAGCTGCGGCTGTGGATATGCCCACTATGTCCACTCGCGGTGGAGGCAGGCAGGAGCCACGCACGGGGGGCTCCTCTGACTGGCATGCACAGCCCCCGTGAGCTGGGGAAGCGTTCCCCTCACTCCCCCAGGCACGCAATAAAGTTACTGTAAGCAGAAGATTGCTTTGTGTCTGAAGTTTATCAACTCTTTTGGCCTGAACAGATTTCATCTTTACACAGCAAGCTGTGGTAGTCTACAGGAAGTCTTTAAACTTCCCTTGTTAAAAGCCAGGTTCCAAGTGCTATTTTTCCAGTCACCACGCGCTTGTATTCTAAAATTCCCAAAGCAGGGGATGCGTGAAGATGACACTGCAGCTGTGGAGCTGCCTAACTTTCCCCGAGCAGCAGCAGCAGCAGCAGCAGCAGCAGCAGCAGCAGCAGCAGCAGCAGCAAAGACGAAGGCGTTTGCTGCCTACCTGTCCTGGGTTGAGTGAGTGGTGGAGTTTTTGGTGGCAGGGGAGGGGGCTATCGGGGCGGCCCCCTGTGAGAAGCTTCTCGAAGCTCCCCCAGCTCCACGTCAGCTCCACTTCTGTTTGGGAAATTGAGCCAATCGGCTGCGCCTCTGCGATAACGTATTTAAGAAGGGACGTGGTGACGGGCAGTGGGACTTGTGAGGAGGAGTTGCTGCAGCTGCGTGAACACCAAGGTCAGTGGAGGAACGGAGGAAGAAAGGAGGGGGGAGGTGTGCCGGAGCAGAGACCCCCCTGTATCCTGTGGTGAGACGGCAGGGCGGCCCCCCCCTGCCACCCATGAAGATCTACGGTGGAGCAGACATTGATTTACGGCCTGTTGTTCCTGCTCGGCTGATCAAGGTTCTGTGCCCGAAGAAGGCCGGGGTCTCATGGGAAAAGGTGGCCCCGCTGCTGTAATTCAGTGCTGGGAGGATTGCAGCATGCGGGGGAGTCCCACACCGGAGCAGCTCGGGAATGGCTGCAGCCGTGGGAGGGAATCCAGTCGGAGGAAGTTAGTGACCCATGACGGAGCAGTGTGGGGAACGCTGCGGTCCATGGGAGGAATTCAAGTCAGAGAAAGTTTGTGGAGGACTGTCTCCTGTGAGAGGGGGACCACGATGGAGCAGGGGGTAACAAGTTTTGGACACTCCCCTCACCGAACACGAAGGAAGTGGCAGCACTGACTGCACCCCCCATTCCCTGCCCCTGCGCCCCTGGGGGAGGAGGTAGAGATATCGGGAGCAGAGCTGAGCCCGGGAAGAAGGGAGGGGTGGGGGAAGGTGTTCTCAAGATGTGGCAATGCTGCTCACTGTCCTACTCTGTTATGTGTTGTTAGTGTCTGTAATAAATGTATGTTCTTTTTTTCCTTCCCCTAACGAGTCTGCCTTTTGCTCGTGATCATAAAAGGGGGATTTTCCCCCATCCCAGTCCTATCTTGAACCCCATGCCTGGCTCTCTGTCCCTTCTCATTGCCGGAGGGGAAGGGAGAGAGAGCTGCTGCATTGTGGTTGGCTGCCAATCAGGCCTAAACCACGACACTACCACAGCCAAGGGCTGAGGCTCCAGCCAGCCCCCAGCCTTCCCCACACGGTGGGGAGCAGCCAGCGCTCGCAATGCCAGTGCTCTCGTGATTAGGCACCGCTCCGCAGCATTCCTAGGCCCGCTTTTAACGGAACCGCTTGTTAACGGGGCTTTCCACAGAGGCGGCCACCCGTCTATCATCCACCGCCTCTCACGCCCATTGGGTTTGGGGCCGTGCGGCACCGCCTCCACCTGGGACGCTCTCCCCTCACTGGACAGCGGGGAAAAGTCTCCGCCCCCTCCGCCATTTCTGCCGAGGCTGCCGCAGGAAAAAAGGCGAAATGGCGCCCCCGGCGGCCGCCCCTCAGCCGCCGCAGTCGACGGGGCCGCTCCGGGCCTCTCCTGTCCTGCTGCTGTCCTGTTCTGCTCGAGAAGCCGTCTCGCCTCGGAAGGCGCTCCGTTAGCGTGGTGTTACTCGACCGAAATCCCTCGCCTGGCGCGTGGCAGGGGCTAGGGCTTCCCGCAGGGCGGCGCGGGCTCTCCCGCGCCCTCGTTTTCGCGCCTCTGGCGGCACACCGCGGCTGCTGTCACGGACGCACCCGGGCCGGGTGCAGAGCAGCGCGCGCGGCTCTGCCCCTGCCGTGGCGGGAAGAGGGGGGCGGGACCGCTGCTCCACAGACAAGGCCCTCAGCCAACGAAACGCCTCGTGGGGCGAGAGGAGGCGCAGGAGCGCTGGCCGCCTAGGGCCGGAGTTCAGCTCCTGCCGGGCTCGAAGAGGCGGCCCCCGCGGGAGCTCCCCTCAGAGGGCGCAGCGGGCGAGTGTTCGGAAGCCCTCCCCTTGGGACGGGGACAACCCCGAAGGGAGCTTGGTGGGACTGAGTGCCCTCAGCCCCCCGCCCCCCTCGGTGAGGGAATGGTGCCTCGGGGTGAGCTTGAGTGAGCGCTTGCCCCCTTCGGGCACCTCTGAGGGGCGGGTTCCCCCTTCGGAGAGTGGGTGCGCACCTTGGTATCATCACTGTTCACGTGCCGTCGTTGTCGTTCTTCCGTGTTGCTGTGCAGCAGCAGCTGACGTGCGGAAAACAGACTCCACAACCTGGTAGATTGTAAAGTAGGTATGTTTATTCAGCACTGGGCACATGGGGGATCACTCCTCCAAATATGTGCTACCATGTGGCACCATTGCCTTAGATTTATAGAGCAAATGATTACATATTCATAATATTTCGCAATACGCCTATACATATGCATCACCTATCCCCGCTTCGTATTAAAATTAGCATTTCCATGATCTCCTCCCAGTTGAGTCTGCGCAGTCTCTGTCACCCCCCTGGACCCGCAGAGCAGGTTTGTGCCGTTGTGGGGTAATCTTCGCTTACTCAGGGGTGGAGGAGGCTTTTTACTTAAACAGGAGATAGTGGTCGAGCAACACAAACACCTGGTACAAGCTAGGCAAACCCTTATCTCGACTATTTCGTCATCCCCTTCTTGCTATTCCCATATTAACCCTTACATCCCCTGTTCCTATCTAGGCCCTGTATCAATCCCCCCTTTTCTTATCATACTAAGTAAATTCTTTTACTTCAACAATTTTCCCGAATAATATAAAGCCTCATGCATAGCAGTTATCCTTTTAAACATTCTCCAGACCCATAAATATAACATGATGGTTAGTACTAATAAAATTCCTAAACTACCTAGTAGGATCACAATGGGGTGTATCATAGTGTTAAGAATCCCTGTTGCAGAAGGCGACCAGCCGAAAAAAGGATCCCACCAGTTATGACTTGCATCTTGTTTTGCTCTTTGCAAAACCCTGTTTATTTCTTTTGTATCATGGTGAACAGTGACTAAAGTTTTCTCTCCGTTTTTCTGAATTTCTCTCAAGATCCCCAACAGATCTTGGTGTTTAATCAATTGCCTTACTAATGTAAGGTTCATTCCAATAGGTGTAGGTGATAACTCGAGATACCCTGTGATTTTAAATTTTATCAACTGGTGGGAAACCACTGGTGCCCAATATACAAAGTCACACCCAATGATCTTAACAAAGTTACAAATACAGAAATTAGAATGATTCCCAATGGGCAAAGTTACATTGTCATGATCTATCTCTACGAATACACAAGCAGTTCTTAAACATATACAGCCTTGACCAGTATATACAATCACCGTTTTTTACTATTATCTGGGTGAATTTCGAAGTGGCAAATACTTTGCTCAGTGTCAAGGCATACATCTTGGGCATCAATTGTATTACTTTCACAAATGAACCCCTGTTGTTCTTGGGTAATACAAGATTCCACATTTACAGTCTGCCATTTCTCATTCACCTTCCGGGCCCATGCTCTATGTTCTGAAGGATAGAGCACTGTGTCCTCATGATTCAATCCTAATGCAATGATGGGGTGGATTACATAAACTGTGGCATTATGTATAGTGAGCACAAAGGCAGTAGCTATGTTAGTAGTGGGGTCATAAGTAAAATTCACCATAGTCCACCAAGATTGGAATCTCCTTTCAAAATTGGTGGCTTTGTCCCAAACAGCCTTTGTTTTCCTGCCCAGTAAGTAGAGCTATTAAATGCTCTGCATCTGAATTTTCATTTCTTGTCCCAATGTTCCCTGCAATTGTGGTTCTCCTGGATAGGCATCCCATTCTTCTTTTGTGGGCACATTTCTCCCCTGCATAACTATAGTAGCCAACGTGTGGTTGCTCACATTTCTAGTCTTATTAGTATGCCCAATGTAAGCCTGGGACCATGGCCATTCACTGAACCTTCGACTATGCATTAGAGGAAAAATGATTATCAGACTTATCGTGAGAAGCATAATCTTCCTGGCCGAACTTGGGTAACTTTCCATGGGGATTTATGGGTTTTCTTTACTCGGGTGTGATGTATCCAGGCCGAGTATTCCCTAATCTTGATGGCTGTAAACGTCATGAGCAGCACCTGGAATGGCCCTTCCCACTGTGGCTCCAAGGTTTTCTCTGTAAGAGACTTAACATACACATAGTCCCCAGGTTGTATATCATGTACAGGTCCATCCAGCCCTCTACCTCGAGTACCAATTACATGTTTTCTGATCTTATTGAGTTGCTTCCCTAACGCCACCATGTAGGAGCTCATGATTTCATCTCCAATTATTCCTTTTTGTACCCCGTATGGTTGTCCATATAAAATTTCAAAGGGGCTTAGCCCTTCCCTTGCCCTTGGCCTTGTCCGTATGCGTAAAAGGGCCAAGGGCAAGGACTGAGGCCATGTCAGGTTTGCTTCTTGCCCCAATTTTACAATTTGCTGTTTGATTAAGTGGTTCATCTTTTCCACTTGACCGCTTGACTGAGGGTGGTACGGGGTATGAAGCTGCCAATCTATACCCAAATGGTGGCTAATTTGTTGTACTACTTTTGAGACAAAGTGTGGTCCTCTATCTGAGGATATGATTGCCGGAACCCCAAATCGTGGTATTATTTCTTGTATCAGTACTTTAGTTACCTCCCGAGCCTTAGCTGTTCTAGTAGGGAATGCTTCTGGCCAGCCTGAAAAGGTATCAGTCAGTACCAACAAATATCGATACCCCCCTTTTCTTGGTAATTCCGTAAA